GGGATCTCACAGGGAACACATCTAAAACAAAAGTAATGATATTCCGCAATGGTGGCAAAATTTCAGCAATTGAAAATTGGCATTTTAATGGTCATAGATTGGAGGTTGTAAATAATTTCAATTATTTTGGACTTGTTTTGAATTTTAATGGCAAATTTACATTAGCACAAGCAAATCTAGCAAATCAAGGAAGAAAAGCCTTATTTCCTGTTTTAAAGACATGTAGAGAAAATTGTTTTAATATCAAAACCTGTATTAATGTTTTTGATTGTTATGTAGGTAGCATTTTAAACTACGGGGCCGAAATATGGGGGTTTCATAAGGGACCTGACATAGAGAAACTACACTTTTATTTTCTTAAAATGATTCTTAATGTTAAACGATCTACAAACCATGATATGTTATTATATGAAGTAGGTAGATATTCGCTTTATACTATCAGAAAACTTAGAATTTTTAAGTATTATGTTAAATTGTTGAAATCCGATAATGAACTGTTAAAATGTTGCTTGCAAGATATGATCATTAATAACGATGTGTGGATTTGTAATTTAAGAAATGAGCTTGATCACCTAGGTTTGAGTTATCTATGGAATAATCCCATTATTAATTCTGTAAGTATTTTTAGGCAACGCCTCTATGATAATTTTACACAATCTTGTTTTAGCAATATTTGTCATTCATCGAAGGGAATATATTATCAATTTTTTGTTACCAATTTTTCACTCCAAAGTTATCTTTTAAAACCTGTAAATTCGGCTTTATTGAAATATATAAGTAGACTACGTTTAGCATCGCACAATTTATTAATAGAAACCGGTCGATACACTAAAATTCCAAGAAATGAAAGAATATGTAAAGTATGTAATATGCACGAAATTGAAGATGAATACCATCATATTTTAATATGCACAGCTTTTAAAGAACTACGCCTGCAATATATTAAACCATATTATACCACACGACCAAATATGTACAAATTTTTTAAATTAATGAGCACTACGAATGTAAAAGATCTAAGAAACCTTGGAAGATATCTAATGTATGCGAGTAAAAAACGGTGATATGTAATCAGTATGATTTATTTAATTTTTTTTCACATTACTCTCCTAAATGTATTTATATTTATTATGTATTTTGTAAATAAGTTATACCGATGAGTCTGTGACTCAAGGTTAATAAAGAATTGAATTGTGTCTCCCAATGACATATACCAGTCCTGCCGTAAATGTCACGAGCCAAGTGAATTGTGATTATAAGGATGGATAGCGGCTATTGTCTTTCAATTAACCGTTAATTGGTATTTTACGACTTTTGTGTTGATCATTCTAGTATGCTTATCTATCATTTTTTTGTTGAAGCTAAAGCATGGGCCTAAAGTAGATGTTTCAATTTAAAAGGGAAGCCAGAAAATAAATGATTTCCATCCGAGTCCATTTTCAAGTCAGTCTGCGCTTGAGCCTCTTTCGAATGGAAAATGGGATTGCATTGTATGTATCGTTTGAAAAGCTTTCTCTTTCTTAGATTTAGGGGGTTCTGGAAAGAACCGTTTTTCTTAAATTATTGATCACGGTGTTTTCTACTCCATGGACTCTTCGGAACGACTGCTATCGTCTTCGCAATCGGTGACAACCGTCGACCTGATCTTGTGGCGAAGGTAAAGAACTTTGTCAGCTTTTTGGCGAGCGTATTCGTAATAAGCGTTTCTCACACCTTCGACAGCAGACATTCTCAAACGGGTGTTGTAGCGGAAAGAACGCAGCTCATCTCGTCTTGCTCGATCGTATCGAACTTGAAGATCTTGTAATTTGTTGTTCAGCAAAACCACTTGTTCACAGGCTCTTCTGAATCGAAATTCGGTCTCGGACAAGTTCACGTGGAGACTGGAGATGGAATCCATTTCGGGATAAGCAAGTAGGACTGTGGATATAGAGTTATCAGATGAAAACTAGCAAGTGATGCATTGTGCCCTAGAACTTGAGGTTTATATATATTTCTTTAGCTCTAAGACTGACAGCAATGTCTCCCAATGACATATACCAGTCCTGCTGTAAATGTCACGAGCCAAGTGAATTGTGATTATAAGGATGGATAGCGGCTATTGTCTTTCAATTAACCGTTAATTGGTTTTTTGTTAAAGCTAAAACATGGGCCTAAAGTAGATGTTTCAATTTAAAAAGGAAGCCAGAAAATAACTGATTTGTACCCGAGTCTATTTTTAAGTCAGTGTGCGCTTGAGCCTGTTTCGAATGGAAAAGGGGATTCCGAATCACTTTTCCTCCGCTATTCTCGATTCATTGATTGATAGTGGTTAACACAAGAAAGGGTACCCGGGGATTAGCTTTGAAAACAGCGAAACTGACCAACTTCATTTCTGGCTGAAACATGATATCTAAGAAAGCAGTATTTTACTGTCTGTTTTTTTTTTCACAGGCTACTCCCGTGGTGGTATTGCTGTCATAAGCCACTACAACATTAATATGAAGAATTTGCTGAGAAGCAAGTATGCGTTGACTTGCGAAATTTATTTAATAGATTCTCAACCGATCTAGATACTAATGCAACTTAAAGATCCGCTGGGAATATCAACTCTTGTAAATAATGTATTGTCTTTTGGACAGAAAGGAGGTTTCTATCTCTGTCTACATAATACTGACGCCAAGAAATGACGATTTAAGATAGACATAGAATCGCGCGTCTCTGTCATTCCAAGCCCCGATCTCAGGGATCATCTAAACAGAGAATTGGACATGAACATGGGACAGGAAGTGTGTTTGTGTGTGAAAACCAGGGGGTTACTGTATCGGCTTTTATGACATCATAATGCCACAGTTGAATGACGTTTTGACAATGGAATTTATAGAGATGAATTTTGGCTGTAAAGTTGGTTTTGATCACGTTATCTGTATTTTACCGATGTCTAGACTAGAAAATTACATGTACGACACATGAAATCAAGTAAGTGTGGTTTATTCTTGTTATCATCGCTGCATTGTATGTTTTGTTTGAAAAGCTTTCTCTTTCTTAGATTTAGGGGGTTCTGAAAAGAACTGTTTTTCTTAAATTATTGATCACGTTGTTTTCTACTCCATGGACTCTTCGGAACTGCTGCTATCGTCTTCGCAATCGGTGACAACCGTCGACCTGATCTTGTGGCGAAAGTAAAGAACCACTTGTTCACAGGCTCTTCTGAATCGAAATTCGGTCTCGGACAAGTTCACGTGGAGATTAGAGATGGAATCCATTTCGAGGTAAGCAAGTAGGACTGTGGATATAGTTATCAGATGAAAACTAGCAGGTGATGCATTGTGCCCTGTAACTTGGGACTTATATATATTTCTTTAGC